CTGGGAGGCGGAGGTTGCAGTGAGCCAAGATCGGGCCACTGTGCTCCAGCCCGGGCGACAGAGTAAGACACCGTCTCAAAAAAGAAAAAAAAAACTAAAACAAAACATAGTTCCCAAAGCAGCTGCTGGCACATCTGGGGAATATAGCTGTCTACCCTAGCAAATCTGCCTTCCTAATAATTAAACAATCCAAGGTACATAAAAACTATGTCAGGATTGGGGGATGGGAGACGGACAGCATTAGGAGAAATACCTAATGTAAATGATGAGTTAATGGGTGCAGCAAACCAACATGGCACATGTATACATATATAACAAACCTGCACATTGTTCACATGTACCCTAGAACTTAAAGTATAATAAAAATAAAAATAAATAAAATATCAATTACCAAAGGTGTCCAATGAGAGGGGAAGAAAAAGCCATGTCAAAAATCCTAATGAGAGCCAGATGCAGTGGCACACACCTATATTCCCAACTACTTGGTAGACTGAGGCAGGGGGATCACTCGAACCCAGGAGTTCAAGTCTAGCCTGGGGAACATAGCAAGACAGCAAGACCCCATCTCTAAAAAAAAAAAATCCTGGCCAACTATGGTGGCTCACACTTGAAATCTCAACACCTTAGGAGGCCAAGGTGGAAGGATCACTTGAGGCCAGGAGTTCAAGACCAGTATGGGCAACATAGTGAGACGCCACCTCTACAAGAAATAAAAAATTAGCCAGGCATGGTAGTACATGGGTGCATGTGGTCCCAGCTGCTTGGGAGGCTGGAGGGGGAGGAACACTTGAGCCCAGGAGTTCAGGGCTTTAGTGAGCTATGATCGTGTCACTGCACTCCAGCCTGGGTGACAGAGCAAGACCCTGTCTCAAAAAAAAAAAAAAAAAAATCCCTATCAGTTCACTTTCACTTGAGTGCTCTTTGTATGCCAAGCACTGGGCATATAGTAAGGAATGGGACAGACTCTGTCCCTGCCCTCTTAGAGCTTACACTCTAGTGAATTTTATCAACAATTTGTGAGATGTACAACAAAGGAAGAAGTATGGGTGAGAATTGCTAGCTGGGGGCCCTAACTGGCCTAGAGCATCAGGAGAGACCTCCTTCCAAGGTGTTCATAAGGGGTGAAGGGTTGATGATGAGGAGAAGGGAATGTCCCACATGTGTCCAATGGCTCTGGGGTAGAAAGAACCTTGGTAAGATGAAGACTCATATGGTTTGGATCTCTGTCCCCACTCAAATCTCATGTTGAAATGTAATCCCTAATGCTAGAAGTGGGGCCTGGTGGGAGGTGGTTGGATCATGGGGGCAGTTTCTCATGGTTTAACGCCATCTGTCCTTGGTGCTGTCATTGTGATAGTGAGTTCTCATGAGATCTGGTTGGTTGAAAATATGTGGTGCCTCCCCCTTCTTTCTCTCCCCTCTGCTCTGGCCTTGTGAAGTGCAGACTCCCTCTTTGCCTTCTGCCGTGATTGTAAGTTTCCTGAGGCCTCCCCAGAAGCTGAGCAGATGCCAGCATCATGCTTCCTGTACAGCCTGTGGAACTGTGAGGCAATTAAACCTGTTTCCTTTATAAATTACCTAGTCTCGGATATTTCTTTATAGCAGTGCAAGAACAGACTAATACAAAGACTGTGGCAGAGAATGCAGGTGGAGTGCTAAAAAAGGAATCCGGAGGGTCAGGCAGGGGCCAGATCACATGGGACCTTGTGGAAAAGGCTCATCTCCTTTTCTGTGACATCTGCTGTGTCCGCTTGTGATTACAGGTCCACAGATCCAACCGTCCAATCATCTGCAAGGGCTGCAGGAGAACATTCACAAGTCACCTGTCCCAGGGGCTGCGGCGCTTCGGGCTGTGTGACAGCTGCACCTGCGTTACAGACACACCCGACGATGACGATGATTTGATGCCTATCAACCTAAGCTTGATGGAGGCTTCATCCGAAAGCCAAGAAAAGAGTGACACAGACAATGACTGGCCAATCTATGTGGAGTCGGGTGAGGAAAATGACCCCGCTGGAGATGATTCTGATGACAAACCACAAATTCAGCCCAACTTATCAGACCGAGAGACACTTACGTAGCAATAAATTGGTGGAGAAGAGGTTTTAGAACTTGCTAGTGCTCATTCTGTTGTTGAAAGATACCATTTGTTCAATTTTGTGGAACGCTGAGAGGAACATTTTTTCACTGTTATATGTGCATTTTTATTAGACTATCTGATAGAGGTTGGATTTTGTGACTCAAAGGACAGATAACCTTTTTGTGTGGTGCCCTTGGTTTCTGAGGGCTTTGCTGGCCACTCCTTAATTCTGAGTGAATCAATGCAGGCCCTGAGGTCTCCTGTTTTTCTTGCTGTGCATCCAAACTGTGGTTAGGAGAAAGATAAGAAAATCTCCACGCTTGTTTTTATATTGACTCAGCCCTCTGCATTCCTTTGTTATCATCCTCTTTCTCTAAAAACCATTAAGTTTTGGGATCAAGTTTACCTTTGCCAAGCCTTTCCTAACGAATTCCACATTAAATTTTCTGGCAACGTATTAAAGAGAAACCTTTATTGATATAAAGCAGGCAGGGCGGTCTAGCTACATGATCAAAAAAGGTACTCTCTAAATCTAGGACAGCAATTTTAAAGGCTTGGAATACTTACGGGCAGACAAACATGAGAATGATCCGAAAGGCTCATTATGGCATCCTGACTTGCCCAGTTGAATAAAATTTTAAGTTAGCACTGAGAAGGGAGGCTATGACCCCAGGTCTGGATGGTTTCCCTGTCTGGTTTGGCATTTGATGATTCTACACCTACAACCTGTTCTGTTATCATAAAACAACTCCTTTGGGCAAAACTCAAAATGCTCCCCTACTTTTTCCAGCAATTTCCAAAAGTTGGAGCTGTGTAACTTGGAAATGTAGCTGCCTCTGGCATTCTTTTACTTAGTTTATACTGATGCAGGGCAGGCAAGCCCGAATATTGGGGCTTAGTCCAGGGGAGTTCTTGGCTTCACCCAGGAAAGAATTCAAGGCGAGCCAGTGGTGTTAGACAGCAGCTTGTATTGAAGCAGCAGTGTGCTGCAGCAGCAGCAAAGGGGCCGCTCCTTGTGGACTAGGACTACCCCATAGGCAGTGTGCCCAGAGTAGCATCTCAGAGGCAAGTCGGCACTCATATTTATACCCACTTTTAGTTACATGCAAATTAAGGGGCAGATTATGCAGCAATATTTAGGAAAATAGTGGTAACTTCCAAGCCGCTGGGCGATTGCCATGATAAGGGGCAGTGACTTCCAGGTGTTGCCATGGCAATGGTAATTGACATGGCACAGTGATGAGCATTTCTTATAAAAGCTGCTTCCCACACCATCCTCCCACCACCGCCTTGTTTTAGCTAGTCCTCAGTTTGGTCCGTGTCTGAGTCCGGCCTTTGGAGTTGAGTCCTGCCTTCTACCTCATTGCCTAGAACTTTAATTGGAGGGAAAGTATAAGCCCATAACGCCAAGTTACATTTCTAAAATGTTCATCTTTTAAAAGATCCTCATGAAGGAAAGGCAAGGTTAGTAGAAGAACAGGTTTTTAAAAGCAGTCTACCTTTCACCCACTTTTCAGCCGCACAATTATTGCAACAAAAGAGGCTGAACTCTTTAAAGGGCTAAAGGGCAGGCAGTATTAGGAATTCGGAATGTAATTGAAGGCATTTTCCATAATTTTGTCTTACGTTAAAATATCCAAAATGGATTTTAAAAGAAATCTTCTTGTCTTCCTTTAAGTATAGTCGTCTTTCAAAAGATGGTAAAGTCACTTTTATTTCTACCTCTTGAGCAACAAAGAAGTCAAAAACATTATAAATTGGCCTGTAAATGTTAGCCAAAGCATTAGAAAGGTGTTCAAGCTGTACTTCTCAATTGTAGTTAAAACTGGAACAGTGCAACTCAAACTCTGGCCCACAGAGAGGCACTGTTCTGTAAATTGTTTTCTACCACTCTGCTACAAGGAAAGTCAGAAATTAAGTCTATGCATATAGAAATGTTGATAACACTTTGACATTGCTGTGACTCATGGCTTTGTCTTCCTTTTTTTTTTTTGAGACAGAGTCTCACTCTTTTGCCTAGGCTGGAGTGCAGTGGCGCAATCTCGGCTCACTGCAAGCTCCACCACCCGGGTTCACGCCATTCTCTTGCCTCAGCCTCCTGAGTAGCTGGGACAACAGGCGCCTGCCACCACGCCTGGCTAATTTTTTTGTATTTTCAGTAGAGACGGGGTTTCACCGTGTTCGCCAGGATGGTCTCGATCTCCTGACTTCGTGATCTGCCCGCCTTGGCCTCCCAAAGTGCTGGGATTACAGGCGTGAGCCACCGCGCCTGGCCAGCTTTGTCTTCTTGAGTGGGGTATGGACCAGTTCAGTTCTGGTCAGCTAGAGGGCCACATGGTGCAGAGGATGGATACCAGCCTGTAGAGCAGGACCACATATTGGTCTGCAGTAGATGGGAAAATTTAAAACTTCTTTTATCACAGGTAGTTCAATAAATATCATTCTTGGCTGGGTGTAGTGGCTCACACCTGTAATCCCAGCACCTTGAGAGGCCAACGCAGATGGAACACTTGAGGTCAGGAGTTCGATACCAGCCTGACCAACATGGCAAAACCCCGTCTCTACTAAAAATACAAAAATTAGTTAGGAGTGGTGGCATGTGCCTGTAATCCCAGCTACTCAGGAGGCTGTGGTGAGAGGAACACTTGAGCCTGGAAGAGGTTGCAGTGAGCTGGGATCGCGCCACTCCACTCCAACCTGGGCGACAGAGTGAGACACTGTCTCAAAAAAATAATAATAATAAAAATAATAATAAAATAAATAAAATAAAAATATTCTATATCAAGAGTTACACATTGAAAATGATCAGGAACCAGAGATACTTGTCTTATCTAAAATAAAAATACTAGCTGTGGCCAGGCGCAGTGGCTCACGCCTGTAATCCCAACACTTTGGGAGCCAAGGCGGGTGGATCACCTGAGGTTGGGAGTTCGAGACCACCCTGGCCAACATGGAGAAACCCTGTCTCTACTAAAAATACAAAATTAGCTGGGCATGGTGGTGCATGCCTGTAATCCCAGCTACTCGGGAGGCTGAGGCAGGAGAATCACTTGAACCCAGGAGGCGGAGGTTGCACTGAGCCGACATCACACCACTACACTCCAGTCTGGGCAACAAGAGCGAAACTGTCTCCAGATATATATGTTAGCTGTTATTTTAAAAGAGGGATCTCAGCAAAGAGGAAACTTAAATGAATGTGTAGAAAATGTACTTGGCCAGGAACGGTGTTTGATATTTTTGCTTTCTCTGTTTAAATGATCTCTGATGTTTTAATGACTTTTCTACCTCATAGTTCAACCTCTCTGCCTGCTTTCTCCAGTGGAGCTATGATCCTCTTCAGTGATTCTGTGACCTATTCATGTCACTGGGTAAAACATTTTACATTAGAGATTTCCCTGTAGGATAGTGATTCTCAGTTGGGGGCGATTTCGTGCCTTGCAGGTGGCTACTGGCATCTAGTGGGTAGAGGCCAGGGAAGCTGCCTAACATCCTAAAATGCACAGGACAGCCCCACAACAAAGAATTCTCCAATTCAAAATGTCAGTAATACCAAGGTTGAGAAACTCTGTGGTAAGATAAAGTAGGAGTTTTTTAAGGATCTTTAATCAGTGGACTTAATTTTGTGTTATATTTTAAGCTACCTTTTACTTTCATAATATTTATTGATTGATTACTTTATTTTATGTATTTATTTATTTATTTTGAGATGGAGTTTCGTCCTTGTCACCCAGGCTGGAGTGCAATGGCACAATCTCGGCTCACTGCAACCTCCACCTCCCAGGTTGAAGCGATTCTTCTGTCTCAGCCTCTTTAGTAGTTGGGACTACAGGCACACACCACCATGCCTGGCTAATTTTTGTATTTTTAGTAGAAATGGGGTTTCACCATGTTGGCCAGGCTGGTCTCAAACTCCTGACTTCAAGTGATCTGCCTGCCTTAGCCTCCCAAGGTGCTGGGATTACAGGCATGAGCCACCGTGCCTAGCTGACCTTCATAATATTTAATAGGCCCTTATGTTCTCGCAAATTTTAGAAAATAGTGGATTAGTAAAATGAGGAGCTGAGGCCAGATGGTTCACAGCTTGTCCATGATCTGATTTAGGTTTATAATGTGAAAACTTAGAAAATTCTGACTCATTCATACACCCAGAATCATTACTAGGTTCTGATCATTTTGTTAATTTTTAAAGTACCAGAATCACTGGGAAGAAAATAGAATGTGACACCTAATATTTAAATGATTCTCTTTCTTTCGTAATATCTGATTGTTGCATTTCTGGTGGACTGTTTGGAGTTTGTGTATAGGCATTGGCAGTAACTGGATCACTGAATTCTATCACTTTTAAAGGAGATACTTCCTTTGTCTAGACTATCAGATCATAAATTGGTCCTCTTTTAAATTTATGTTCACATTAGGTGGTCAGTATTTATAATCATAGTGTCTTTGAGGTTTAATTTGTGGGGTTGGTGATATTTTTATACTAAGTAAATTTATAGTTGAGCCCAACACAGACCGTTAGTGGTTTAGTTTCTATTCTGGCACATTCCACCCAAGTTCACAAAGGGATATTTTTGTCTCATATTAGATATATTGCATGAATAGGAACAGGACTCTTACTTGTAATGGAATTCCAAAATGGCATTCTTGGGAAGTTATTTCTCTTGGGGGATGAGGACCCCCTTCTCTAAAGTTGAGAAGGAATGTAAATAGGGCCTTACCTATTTCTTACCTAAGAAACATAGTGCATCATGATTCTGATCATTTGGCAGAAAGATGTCATTCTGATGTAAATATTTTGGTGGCCACCAGACTTTGAATATTCCTTAAGGAAGCTGCCGACCTAGTGGTCTGCAACATGTTGTGGAATTGAGTATTCTGGTGGTTTTGTTATTGTTCATTGATGTTGTGACAAACCCCAGGGAGAGAAAGGCAACAGGTAGGTCTGCATGCACTGATTCTGTGAGCCGTAGGAAAGAGTGGAGTGGCCTTTGGTTAACTGAA